CAGAAACAGTCGGGGAGTAAATTGATTCACTTTCAAAATTGCTAGGACACATTCTTTTTGTTATCACAGAGAAAAATGACGCTTAGACGTATTAGGTTCTCAATTTTTTATACAGTATGTAAGCAGTCAGTTCTAATCTTAGTTAACTTTTTTTCCCAGTAAAGTCATTTTGTTAGTGGTTCATTGATTAATAGGTGAGCTAATGAATTAGAAAAGCTAAAACAGACGGTTTTCGCGCATGGCTTCAGAATTCATTTTGTGTATCTATATTTCTACAATATTAAGATCGAAAAAGTGATAATAAGCCTTAAAAATCTGATTAAGTTTGAAAAACACAACTCTAGCAGGTTCCATCATACCTGTAGCTAAATACTTGATTTGTAAAGACTACTCACTAGATAAAAAATGGGGTCGGAATTCTAAAAATATCTCAACCTTATTCCTATATCAAACGTTTACTGTCAGTAGTCTTTGGGTGTAGTGACGATAATTCACGTGATGTCATCATCTTAAAACACCAGCTTTAATAGCTTGGATATGTGCTATGAATGTCGTTGCAACAAATTCCACTCTGTGCATTATTTACCGACGCTGGGACTGGCTGAAGAAAGTCGAGATGGTCAGTTTATTATATTGTTCTAAGGAAAGCTGTACAGAACTGATAGTTGTTAACCCTTCACAACTCTGGTTGGGGTTCTAGAAATAGTGCAACTCAATGGCTTGAGACGTTGCCATGCACGGTTCAGAATAAAAGCCGATGGTGGTCCCGCTGTAATTTTCTGTTGCTCCATAAAATGACGAGAAACTCTTCAAGTGAGAAAATTCGTTCTTGTATTTTTCTTAATTGAACTGCCTCTTCCACTTATTTTTGATTCTCATTCACTAATTTTATATATTTATTGTTTTTCATAATACTCACCCCATCTCCACAACCTCATTTCCTTATTGTTTGGCGAATATTCCGATATCCATTCGTATCAATATTTATATGTTTAAATAAATCAATAAACCGTCAGTAGTAGCAATAACCGTCATTTAATTAAGATATGATTCGAAGCTGAGTAACTGGAATTAAACTAAGGAAATGAGTTACACTCCATCTGGATGTATATAATAATTATAAGGCTATTGTTAGGCAGAGATTCATATACTCAACTTCAGGTTTTACTTTGTTTCTAAGGGCCAGTGTTAATATTTGGTTGTCGAACTGAATTAGATGAAGTGGCATTCAAACTTAGAATAGTGTTTCATCGTTCAACTTCTATCACTGAGTCACCTCTCTATAGTTAAGTATTAACTATTCACATATATTTCAATAACACACAATGATTTGTTTATTGAATATCAATTATGTTATAATAATCTCGTAAAAGAACTATTTCCTTAACTAATTCAATACTAGATGATTTATCAAAAAGAGTAGATGATGTTGAAAAGAATATTGGTGATATTATCAGTAGTCTTGATGATGATAGTAATGAATAATGATAAATATTCATTCAATAAACTTCTTCAATTTGATAAAATTGTAAATGACAATTATTGTTGTTTTCAACTTCTTGTATATGTTGTGAATTTATCTTTATTTTCAATGATATAATATTATTTATACTTAAAATTATAAGTATTCTATTTATTTATTCGAATACATAACTATTGATACAAAGGGGCACCGAATACATATACACCACACAAGTTATCTGACTTGTGTGTGAGCTGTGATACTGCACGGGTGCCTATACCAAGGCAGGTGGTTTTCTTACGGAGCCATTCGCTGAACGTTCGACTTTAGGATCTGCTCCACAAGGTAGTGGAGCAGCGTAAGGAGATGCAGTCCCATGGTAGCTAGTGATTAACAATAGGTTCATACATCATTTGTTTCTTTATGGTTCTGAAGCCTATATGCACCATTGGTTTGAAATGAGTTTTCCAACTCCTCTAGGTGGATCCTACACATCCAATAACCCGGTTAAAGCGTCAGACATTGTCTTTTTGTTCTCTCAGTTTCGCAAAAAACACCACCGCAGTGGTCAGAAAGCAGTGAGTAGGACTTTTCTGACAGTGGCTGTATACACTTGTCAAATTGAGAGCACTTTGAGAGGGAGAACTGACTTTCCCCACTCTCGGTCGTACCAGGGCATTTGAGCGCTTATTTGAAAGTTAACATTTTAATTGAACTAAAAAGAAGAAAAACAAGCTTTCTTTTATATTGTTTATTTTTCGAGTAATTTTATTTAAAGGATTACTGTACAAGGCTTTCAAGTAGCAAAAATTTAGATCATATATAAAGGATTCCATTTGGAATTGATTATAGTCATGTAGAAGAATAATCGTTATCAGTTTGCATAGCCTTCGTTTGATCTTGAAACGTTTGAACTTAAAAACAATGTTTAATGAATTTGTTGACCTTACTCTATCTATGATTAACCTTAATAACTAGATAATTAGAGTAAATCGTTTGAATATTTTTGTGAAAATTAATCAACTTAAGTTACTGAAAGCTATTTTACACATAAATCATCGACCGATTTCCGGTATTTCCTGATATAAGAGCAGGTTGGTAACTAGATCAGAGAATGGTCTTTTTATGAAGTCATTTTGATTGGTGGGATTTATTGGCTGTGATTCCCAAGATAAGCATAATATGTAGTTAGATACTGCGGTTGAAGCAGCTTACTGACAGTCCCTGTACTGTAGGTACATTTAGTTATGTAGCTTCCCTACGTTGAATTTGTTACTTTCAAGTTGTATTCATCTCGTTAGGAGATATTTTGCATGGACTGACTTTTACTGAACAACGAAGGTATACGAAACAAACACTTTGTCCTGGCTTAAGATTTGTCAGGAGGGTTTATGACACTATAACCTTCAGACGTCCTAGCGAGCACCACAATGAGTCGTACTACAATGTGGTCAATACAATCCGGTCAGGGGTATAAACTATGTAAACACGACATTGGTTACTGTGCGACCATCAATCAGTATGAATATTTCAGTTTTACAAAAACCGAATGTGATCGGAGTAACTCAGTTGTAATGTCTCTGGCTATGGGACTGGATGACCTCAGTAGGAATTCAATGAAAGACATCAATTACCATATCATGGCAAATTTGTGCGCACCATCACGAAACCCATGTCCAATCATTTAGGTAAATGACCATACTGTACACATGTAGTCAACAAGATTTGATTTGCAATAAGGAGAAGACAGTGACATTGGTTACCACTCATTCAGTGTTTATGCTTCTGTTTTACTTAATTTGTTGTGTACCATAAAAGGTGAGAGTTATAAAAGAGAATTATTAACTTAATTGGATGACTGTAAGAGTTCAGCAGTAGGAATCAGATCTCAATGTGACTTAAAGTGCATCTACCAAAAATCATGTAAACAATTGCTCTATGTAAATTTACTTCATAGTGAATAATTTATAATCCGAAAGGGTTTTGTGGAGATCATAGTAGTTTTATGGTTAAATTCATGAATCAAAGCTAGACAACCTTGGAAACACCGTTGGATGCAGGCTCAGCGCTCGCGTGCGAGACTGATGGGCCCTGGGTTCGAATCTCGCGGCGCGGGATCATGGATGGGCACTGCTGAGGAGTCCCATATTAGAATGGCCGTCCAATGCTCTCAGGCTTCCTATGGTGATCTAGATTCAATCGACTCATGAATTCAACTATAAATTAATTTATAGATTGACTTATTAAGTCTTATCCCTTGGAATAATGACTTAAATCGATGTTTGAAGCAAGACACTACAGTATCAATTACCACACTCAGCCAGTGAAATAAATTTGAAAAGAGAAAAAAAAAGAGAAAGGTACATGAAGAATTCGGGAGAACACAAAGAGTGGATGCACCTGCGACATTGCAAACGATTTTGAGTCATGCCACTCAAAGTCTAACCATCAATTGCTATCGTCTCGTGGATCCTAACCAGGTAGTCTACACTTACTAACATGTCTCAGACCACTTGTCAGTGACTTCATGGATTCGTGCCATGTTTTGGTCTAACCGCCTTTAACTTTCTTTCAACACACTCCTACACCGTAAAACATCGCGAGTCGGAGTTGTTGGTGATTGGGCATACGTAACACATGTCCCAGCCATCTCAAGTGATAAAATTTCACTACTTCACCAACTGATTTGCCATCCTTACCTAGTATCCGTTTCCTAACAACGAGCAATGCTTCGAAGACATCTATGATCGAATACTAATAACCTACGAATATCCTCTACTCTTACCAGCCATGTTTCAAAGCCATAAAGTAGGACGGAACGAACTGCCACACAGTAATACATATTATTCACATTGACATATTGAGTCATTTCAAAGATAATTCATTTGAAACGTATCTATATACTATTTATTACACAACAATTGAGTAACAACTATTCATTCATAGTTTTATTCATTTTGTTTACAAGTTATACATTTACATGTAGATACTTTATATTAACTTACTACTTGAGATGAAACAAAATTTACTTTATAAATCAAATCATAAACAAAAAAAATTAAATAAAAGATAAACTTATTATTATAATCATTTCTTAAATAATCAAAATGGTAAATAAAGGTGTCCTGTTAGAATCATAAAGTTGTCATAGTAACTAATTTACTTAAGGGAGTAAACATGTTATACATCTACTTTTATTCAATGTTTGTAACTATGGTGTATTATTTAGATAAACATTCAAAAAAGAGAAATGATCATAGCCTTTATATTAATATGAAGAAAAGAATGTCACTATGAAATACTTTAATAGAATGGAAGTTTAAATGAAGTTGGTAAGGCAGTGGAAAAATCAATAAACAAAAGAGCCCCCCCCAGGGTTTTCGAGTTTTTTTTTACTATGGTACATAAGATGAAGATTTTGAATTGATTCATTGAATATACGAATCAATAATTTTGAAGTGAAATAATCATATAGTTACAAGAAATTTAGTTTCTCCTGTCACCAGCAGCACCACCACCACCACCACTTTATTTTATATTAAACCTCTTGGAATATGATTGCTAATCGACGCATAACAATAATAAATAAAGCAATAGCTACACCAACAGCACATACTGTTGCTGTATGATATTGAACAAATGATGTAGATTGTCTAATATGTTCATTGGATATACGATTATTATCATGATGATTTAATGTATTCATTGATTGATTCATTATTCTATGATGTAATCTATCTGTTTTTTGTGTTTCACTTTTATTCTCTTTACATGATTCATTAGTTTCTATAGTATTACTGTTATCTATAGTTTTCGATGATGTACCATCATCAATTAATGGACTATCTGGAACTTTATGTTCATATGAGTTTGTTTGTTTCATTGAATCATATTCCGGTGATTTATCAGTTATACTGGATGAAGATAACTCTTTAGTATCTGATTCATTTTTATTTTGTGAAGAAACTGTTTCAGTTATTGTATGAACTTGATTTTCTGATGAATCAACAACTTCTTTGCTTTGGTTTGCCGGTGATAATGTTTTTGAAGTTGTTGGTTTAATGTTCTCATTGCTGTGTGATATATAAGTAACTTGAGTAGTATCAATAATGGTAGTAGTAGTAGAAGAAGAAGAAGAGGAAGGAGATATTGTATCTTGAACAGAAGTACCTGCAGATTTTTCTTTCTAATAACCGAAAAAAAAATCAAATGTATTAGTAATGAATCCAGTTCGTGTTGGGTAGAGACAGGTATCTGCCCCAATACAATAGAAGATGGTCGCGCAATCTCGTGGATTGGTTGATGTTAGACATTAACACCGTTGGATGCCAGCTCAGTGGTACAGTAGGTTAAGCATTCGCGCACGACTGAAAGCCCTGGGTTCGAATCCCGGGAGCGGGATCATGAATGCGCACTGCTAAGGAGTCCGATACTAGGACGGAACGGCCGTTTAGTGCTTCCAGGTCTAACATCAATCGGTTCATGATCTCAATCGAAAACTTAATAATCTGCACAACCCCTATACTGATAAAAAAATAATAATAGCAACTTAGTTGAAGTCGTCAGCAACTATCTACATTAACAAATCTGACTTCTGTACAATCGCCCTCTTCACCCTGACTATTGAAATAGCCAAAATCAAAATGTGCACTAAATGATGTTACACTCTTTTCGCTATCAATGCATTTCTTTTTAACAGAAGTTTCCTCATCCTTCTTTTATTATTGCGTAACTGTTATTAATATCCGACTGCTTATTAAGCGTTTTTTCATTTCGTTCATACTAACATTATATTATGCAATCGATATATTCTATAGTGACAAACTCCGATTCATTCATTTACTAAGTTATTTAGACATATGCAGAGTTATGGTCTAGGACATTCTCCATTCTTGTTTAACTTTGTCGTTGACGTGCTTTCAGAGATAACACTTTCCTCATCTAAATTTCCAGGAATTGAACTTTTACCGGGATTCTCACTTTAATTAATTTGTTTGTTTTAACACATAGATATTGGTGTAAGGATGCACCACATACATATACCCCACACAAATCTCATTCGATATGTGTGGGGGCTGTGATACTGCCCGAGTGCCCAAATCGAAGCAGGTGGTTTTCTCAGGGGGCCACTCTCCGAGTCTTCGATCTGAAGGTCTGATCCACAAGGCAGTAAAGCAACGTCAGGAGATGCAGTCCCACGGAAGCCGGTGACCAACGATTGGTTCATACGCCATTTGTTCTCTCAGGATACTGGAGCCCATGTGCGCCATTGGTTTGGAATCCGGTTAAAGCGCCGGACATTCGCTTTTCATCCTCTCATTTTCGTAAACAACACCCCCCGCGCCACGAGAAGGCAGTGAGTAGGACTTCCCTGGCAGAGGCTACATACTCGAGGCCATGTGAGAGCATTTCGAGATGGAGAGCGGACTCTCTCCACTCTCGGCTGTACCAGGGCATTTGAGGGCGGGACTCTCACTTGTTGATATGGAATATGCCGATGACACAGTTCTATTTGGTGAAGACGCTGACAAAATGCAGAGCCTTTTGAATACTCTAAGCAACAATGCGTACATGTTCGGGATGAGATTCTCTCCCTCGAAATGCAAAATGTTGCTTCAAGATTGGGTTGCATCGACACCTAAACTAATGATAGAGAGTGAAGTATTTGAGTGTGTCGACCGCTTCATCGACCTTGGGAGTCTCATCAGCCCTTGTGATCTAGTGTGTGATGAAATTTCAGCACGGATACAGAAGGCTCGACTGGCTTTTGCTAACTTGCGTCATTTATGGCGTAGGCGAGATATCCGTCTATCAACCAAAGGACGTGTTTACTGCGCAGCAGTTCGATCTGTCCTACTTTATGTCAGTGGAACATGGCCGGTAAGAGTAGAGGATAGTCGTAGGTTACTAGTATTCGATCATCGGTATCTTTCAAACATTGCTCGTATATCCTGGGACCAACGAATAAGTAACGCAGTTGTTAGGAAACGGGTACTAGGTAAGGATGGCAAATCGATTGAAGTGGTGAAACTTCATCAGTTCAGTTGGCTGGGACACGTGTTACGTATGCCCAATCACCGACTGCTTCGACGTGCGATGTTCAGTGGTATAGGAGTAGGTTGGAAGAAAGTTAAGGGTGGTCAGACCAAAACATGACAAAAATGTGTAGTTACTGACAAGTGGTCTAAGACATGTTGGTGGGTGTAAACTACTTGGTTGAAATCGGCGAGACGATAGCAATTGATGGTTAGACCTTGAGTGACATGGCTCAAAATCGTTTGCGATTTCACAGGTGCATCCACTCATTGTGTTCTCCCGAATTCTTCATGTCCCTTTCTCGTTTCGAATTTATTTCACTGGATTATGCTCCTTGAATAATATCTTCAAACACTAATGTTTCCGATTACTGCTTATACTTTTACTACCTCCACCACTACAGGGTTTGGATCAACAATTGATTACCTCAAGTGGTGTTCGTCAGGGCTGTCCACTCTCCCCGTTCTTGTTCAACTTTGTCATTGACGTATTTTTAGAGATAACACTCTCCTCATCTAAATTTCCAGGGGTTGAACTTCTACCGGGAGATTCACTTGTTGACTTAGAATATGCAGATGACACAGTTCTATTTGGTGAAGACGCTGACAAAATGCAGAGCCTTTTCAGCACGGATACAGAAGGCTCGACTGGCTTTTGCTAACTTGCGTCATTTATGGCGTAGGCGAGATATCCGTCTATCAACCAAAGGACGGGTTTCAGTCAGTCAGTCAGCTACAACGTAGGACCAGGCACATATGTGCATCGGTCCAGGTTGCCATACCTCATTAGCACAGCAAGATGAACAGCGGATTCATAGGAGTGGTTAGGTCAAAGGTTGCAATAAGGATATAGTATAGGAAGAAAGAATTAGTTCGTAGACAGAAAGAATGAAGTGATTTTAATCTTTTAGTTTAAGGGAAGACAGGAAGTGTATACACCGACGCCATTGTGATCGATTCTGAGCCATGTCACCAAGAGTCTCCAACCATTGGTTACGATAGTCACGCGGACCCCAACCAAGTAGTCTGCATCTATCAACATGGCTCAGACTAAAAGTTAGTGACTTCAGGCACTGATGCCACGTTTTGGTTTGGCCGCCCCTAACTTTCTTCCAACCATCCCCTACCCCGGTTAGCATTGCACGTCGTGGTAATCGGTGTTCAGGCATACGTAATACGTGGCCCAACCATTTCAGTCGATGAAGATTCATAACCTCATCAACTGATTTACCATCATTCCCTAATACCCTGCGTCTAACCTCATAATTACTTACCCGGTGATCCCAGCAGATGCCAGCAATATTTCTAAGGCATCTGTGGTCAAATACCAGTAGCTTACGAGTGTCTTCTACTCTTAATGGCCAAGTTTCGCTACCGTAAATTAAAACAGAACTGAATGCTGCGAAGTATACTCGTCCTTTTGTTGATAGACAGATATCTCGCCTCCGCCATAGGTGACATAAGTTGGCAAAAGCCAAACGAACTTCCCAAATCCGTGCTGAGATTTCGTCAGACACCAACATATTAGGGCTGATCAGATTTCCAGGATAAGTGAAGTTGTCAACGCGTTCAACTACTTCACTCCCTATCCTTAGTTCAGGTGTTGATGCAGACCAGTCCTGAAGCAACAACTTGCATTTAGAGGGAGAGAAGCTCATCCCAAACATTCTGGCATTGTTGCTTAGTGCTACCAGAAGACTCTGCATTTTGTCAGCGTCTTCACCAAACAGGACTATGTCATCTTCGTATTCTAAGTCGATAAGTGGACCTCCTGGAAGGAGATCAATACCCGAGAATTCAGTCGACGAGAAAGTTATTTCCATCAATAGGTCTATGATGAAGTTAAACAAAAATGGAGAAAGTGGACAGCCTTGACGGACACCACTTGAGGTTGCAAAAGTAGATGACAGTTCGCCATAAGCCCTGACTTGACTAGTAGTGTTCGAGTAAAGAGCCTTCACAAGGTTTATGTACTTCTGAGGTACGCCTTTCAATGACAGACACTGCCACAGAGTCTCGCGGTCTACCGAGTCAAATGCTGCTTTTAAGTCAAGAAATACCGCCATCGTCGGACGCCGATAGGTATGCCTGTGTTCTAGAACCTGACGAATGGTGAATATGTGGTCGATGCAGCCACGACCAGGTCTAAAGCCAGCTTGGTTCTCTCGAGTTTGTAGTTCACGAGTCTTAGTTAGGCGTTTGATAATTATCGAGGCCAGTATTTTAGATACTATGTTTGTTAAACTAATCCCTCTGTGGTTGTCACAGGATGATTTTGACCCTTTCTTATATATTGGGACGATAAGTGATTGCGACCAGTCAGATGGGATAAAGTCTAATTCCCAGATCTTAGCTAAAATATTAGTCAACTTAATCGCTAAAATTGGACCACCATCCTTAAAGACCTCTGGAGCCAGTCCATCTGGACCAGCTGCCCTTCCTCGTTTCAGATTAACTATAGCCTTTTGAACTTCAGCAAGAGTCGGGGGACCTACTTCAATGTTCCATTCACACTGTCTGGGAATGGAGGGTAGTTGTAGAGTTGCTGAAGGCCAGCTGAACTGTTCCCTAAAGTGTTCCGCCTATCGTTCTAAACGCCTGGACTTGGAGCAGATGAGTGTATCGTCTTTTTCCGATATAATCTCACTTACACTTGACTTATTAATTCCAGTTTCTTTTATTAGTCTGTAAAGTTGTCTTGTGTTCCCTATAGTCGCCGCCTTTTCCATCTCTTTTGCTTTCGTTGCCCACCACTGCTCACGGTCGTTTCTTAGGCTTTTTCTTAACCTAGATCTGATTTGTTTTCGCTCTTCATCATGTTCAGAACCTGATGGGACAGACCTTGAAGAAATCCATTGGTTCCTTGCAACTCTGTGGTTTAAGTCACTAATAGATGTCACTGCTGTTTCCACAGCTGATTGTATGCCCTTCCAAGCAACATCTGGGTCAGCCTCGTCTTCACAACTACCTAAGTGTGACCTCAGTTGTTCCTGGAACCTACTTTTGGTTTTCTCGTTACTCAACTCAGTTCTAACGGGTCTTTTTAATGTGGCTTTTTTGCGTCCAGTGAGGTGCAAGCAGATGCGTGCCCGTATTAGGGCATGGTCGGAGTCCAAGCAGGTACTCCAGAATGAGCGACAATCTTCTACCG